CCACGCTGCGCCTGGGCTGGGACTGGTCCCGCCGGCGCAGGTAGCAAGAAGCTCTCCGCACACTCACCGGACCTGGGCTAGGACTGGGTCTGGGGGTTCCCGGAAGTCGGCAGAGCGGGAAAATTTCTAACATCAAAGAGAACTAAGAAAAAAGTCTGCTTGATGGGGGTGTAGTTCAGTGGCACAAGCACCTGCCTGGTAAGCGCAAGGTCCTGAGTTTGATTCCCAGTACAAAAAAAAATGTCTACTTTACCTCTCTCTCATTGTCTAATACCCCAGCTTAAGATATACTTTTGGAAACTCTTTTATTCTCCCTATGCAAACTCTGATCTAGTAGTGTCATAGATAATAAAGAATGATTCTTTTAAAATAAAAGGACAGCCAGACATGGTTGTAGACACCTGTAATCTCAGGACCCTGAGGGAGTGGGATCAAGTTTGAGCCCAATTTTGACAACTGAATGACTTAGCAGTGAGCAGTAGTGACCCTGTTTCAAAATAAAAAATAAAAATGGGATGGTGATGTTCAGGCTCAGATCAAAGGCCTGGAGTTCAATCCCTAGTGTTGTGGGTGGGGAGAGAAAAAAGAGAGGAAACAGAGAGAAGAGAAAGGAGAGAGAGAGTGGAAGGAGACAGGAAAGGGGAGGGGTGAGGGGGAGGGCTGGGGCAGTAGCTTAGTGACAGAGGACTTTCCTAGCCTGCATGAGGCCCTGGGTTCCATCTATAGCACCGAAAATAAGCAAAGAAAATTAAAATAAGCACAGGATTATTACTATATGCTGTGTTTTGTACCTTTTTTGCCTTACTACATATCATGAACATTTTTAGAAATCTACGGTACTCTTTTTTAATAATGACCATAATTCATTTACACAGCCCCCTACTAAAGCATACAGCCCTTGTCTTGAGAGTTAACCTTCAAGCCATTTCTGCCAGTGAGATTCTGTAGAGCAGGAATGGTTGAACTAAAGGCCCAGGGCCAAATCCAGTCCAGCCCATTGCCTTCTTTTGTAAATTGTGTGTGTGTGTGTGTGTGTGTGTGTGTGTGTGTGTGTATGTATGTGTGTGAATTTCAAATGGGTTTTTACATTTATAAGTTATTGGAAAGAATCCAAAAAGGAAAAAGAATGTGAAACAGGGAAATATTAAGAAATTCAAATGTTGGTGTCCATAGAGTTCATCCAGAACACAGTGACACTGTGTTTACCTCTTAGCTCTGCTACTTGTACCTTTATGCTGGGATGAGTCTGAATAGCTGATGAAGCAGCCATCAGGCTTATAAACTTGCAACCGTTTAGTATCTAGCTCTTTACACAAAAAGATTTCTCACCCCTGCAGTACAATATCCAAAGTTTTCCAATTTGTCTTTTTTTTCGTCTTTAAAAAGTCTTCCTTGAGACAGATGCTGTAAAATGGAATTATTGTGCTCACTTTTTCATTTTATCCTTTTCCTTCAAATACCATGTATATTTGTATATAAGAAGAATTATGAAACACTTCAATGCATATAGAAAAATAAGTACAATAAACCATAGAAAAATAAGAAGTACAATAAACCATATACCCATGTAGATAAAATTTTTTCCATATTTGTTTTATTTCATTGTTTCTGGAAGCTTTTTTTTTTTTTTTTTTAAGATAGAGTCTTACCACATGGTTAGGTCATCCTTGAGCTCATTATGTACCTCGTTATGTTAACACACAGCAATCCTGCCTCAGTCTCCCAAGTATTGGCATTACAGGAGAGTGCCACCATGCCCTGCTCTGGCAGTTTTAAAATGTAGACATCTTACTCTGAAATTCTTCAATATGCTGAAATATAAGGACATTTCTATAGTTACAATGCCATTGTCACACAAGCTAAAATTAACATTATAAAAAAATCCAGGGCCGGCCAGATAGCTCAGCTGATTAAAATACCTGCTTAGGCAGATGCAGGGATGGGGGTTTGATCTCTGGTGTTCCCTGCCAGCCCCACCCTGAAGGCACCCTGAGACAGCAATTGAGACTGGGCGCGGTGGCACGTGCCTATAATCCTTGTGCTTGGGAGGCTGAAAACAGGAGGATCACTATGGGTCTGATCTGTGTAGTGAGACCTTATAAACCCTGTCCTAAATACATTTTTAAAAAAAAGAAAGAAAAAATCCAAATATTCACATTCCCCTTGGAATGTCATTGATCATTTGTTTGGACAGTCAAAATCCTATAAGAGACTGGACTCTGCATTTTACGTTTTTCTCTTTAAATCTTTATTAATCTAGAATGATCTTTCCAACCACAATGTTTCTTTTCTCCTTTTTTAACATTGGTTTATTATAGAAACTGGAGGTCCTGGTGTCTTTCCTTCTGTAATTATCTGATTATTTCCCTGTGGTCTGTCTACTTTATTTCTCTGTTCCTTATTTCCTTAAACTGAGATGTAGACGGAAAGGCTTCATTTGTTTCTTAGTAAGCATGTTTCACCATAATCATGAATGGGTGATGGACACACACAACAGTTAGGTGTCTACTTTTGGAGATGTTTTGTTCAGTCATTGAGTCCAGATGGCAATGCTGGGTTCCTGCATTGTTGAGAAATGTTGGTGTGGGATCCTTTCACTCCAAGGGCCTGCTGAGAAGCTGTGTTGGTCCTCAGAGGCCTCAGGCACCTCTTTTCTGACAAACTACAGTTGGTCCTCTGAACCCGCGTATTCTGACTTATTTTATTTAACCACAGGCTGAAAATATATTAAAGAATGTATCTGTACTGAACATGAACAGACTTTTCTTGTTATGCCCTAGACCATACAGTATAATGACTATTTACACTGTATTAGGTATTGTAAGAAATCTTGAGATGATGTAAAGTACATGGGAGGATGTGGGCAGACCTTGGGCAACTTGTTGGCCACTTTGGTAAAGAATGTAAGCATCCATAGTTCTTGGTATCTGCGGGGGTCCTGGAACTGCTCCACGTCAGCTTCCAAGGCATCACTGTGAATGTCTACACTGACTGGCCCAAGCTTCCTGCAGACAAAAATGGTCCATTATGTTGACTACACTTACTTACCTTTTCTCAAGAGGTCCACTGACCTGGAGCTCTTTATTGTCTTCTTCAGGGTTATTTTAAAAAAACAGTGATGTATTATGGCTTTTACACAAATTCCACGATCAGGCATGGGAGCAGCGGGGCATCCTACAACATGCAGCTGGCCTACATCTTCACAATCGGAGCGTGCCTCATCGTCTGCTTCTTCAGTTTGCTTTACAGGTATGGAGCATCTACAAACCCTGATTTTGATGCTTATTTGTGATTTAGGTAAAATTCCATAAATTCTCAAATTACCCTCCAAATAATGACTTCTCTGCAATGTTGACTTTCTACTGCTGCCTAATCGGTCCTTGTTCTACAGAGCAAAGTGTGAGTGCAGCAGAGAAAAAGTCATCTTTGGGTGCCTTGGAAGCAGTGGGTCAGTGTGAAAATAGAGGAGGGAGGCTCTGAGAAGAGGTCTGGACAGATATCAGAGAGAAGATGCAGATCAGAAATACACACTGAAAAAGTGCTCAACCTCTATATTTATTTGCAAGATGTGTTGGAGCAAAATACAGTGGTCTGAGTTCATGAACTCAGTTAACTCTGTGACTGTGCATGCAAACAGAACTGGGCAAGAACCAAATCAAATAAGGTCAGCATTAGAAGGAGGTGTCCTAACAGTGTTTGGACAGAATATCCTGTCTGTTTCTTGTACTATGGATAACCACTAAGAAGATAACAATGTACAGTGTATTGACTATCAGAGCTGTGAAACTGTCTCATTCATATTTATTTCTCAATAAAATATATATATATATATATATATATATATATATATATATGAACATAAAACAATTGTACTAAATTAAGAGACTCTTTTAGATATATTACCTGTGCTGGATTACAATAATATTCTCTCTCCTGTTATCTTTTATTCTGCACTTTATTTTTAGGTTTCTCATATAAAAAGAAAACATGCAGTATTTAAGGCTGTGTGTGTGTATGTGTGTCTGATTTGCGTCATTTAACATTATGGTCTCAAGGTGCATCCATTTTCCTACAAATGACCCCAGCTTATCCTTCTTTATGGCAGAGTGGTACTCATTACATATAACTACAGTTTCTTTATCTGTTCATCTGCTGGTGGACAGGCCGCTCCCTAGATTTAGCTATTATGAATTATGCTGCTATAAATGGGTATCCACACATCACTGTAATACGATGTCTTTTTTTAATTGAGAAATAAATATGAATGAGACAGTTTCAAAAAAAAATAAGGTCAACATTGAACTTAACCACTGAATTTGATTTGGTTCTCATTCAACTCGGTATAACCACCTGCCTGGTGAGGGCAAGGTCCTGGGTTTGACCTCCACTTAAAAAGGAAAATTATGAAAAGAATCAAGTTTGTGAATCTCTGTTCCTTAGACTATACTATAAGAGAGATTTATTTCACAGTAATGGAGACCACAAGTTCAAGACCAAGAATCAATAAAGTTAATTACTTCCAAGGACCTCTCTCCTTGGGTTGAAGGTGGCTGTTGCTTTAGTTTGCATTGGGGAGGTCCCCCAATGGGGTATGTATTAAAGATTGATACCTGCTTGGCGCTATTGGGAGCTGGTGGAAATTTGAAGAGGTGGAGCCTCAAGGGAGGTCTTCAGATCTTAGAGTGAGCCCTTCCATGGATTGTGGGACAAGGCAAAGGAATGGATTCTTTCCTGTATCCTCAAGAAAGAGAATAGCCCTGCTTTTGAGACCTATTTGTTGACTTCTGACTTCCAGAAGTATAAGATAATAGCTTTCTGTTTTAAGCTACAAGCTTGGTGGTGGTTTGTTGCTGTGGCCTTAGGAAATGAATACAGTTCTGTGTATTCACATAATGTCTCTGTGAGGGGAATGCTGGTATTACCACACAGATGTGGAAACCAAGGCTAAAATGGTGAATGCGACAAGGACTGCTCACGTGTCAGTCCTTTTCCAGAGCTCTTGACCCTCAGGATTGTATTCATGCTGTTTTGGGTAAAAAGTGTTAGGCTCCATCTTTGGTGCTGCCTTTCACTCTGACTAGTAAGACTACCATGTGGTTAATCCCTGTACTGTCTGTGCCTGTCGTATAACCCTGGGCTGTTTGGGTTTCTGCCTTCCCTAGCATGGCCAAGTACTTCAGGAACAACTTCATTAACCCCCACCTGTACTCCAGAGGCATCGCTAAACTTATCTTCTGCTGGGACTTCACTGTCACGCATGACAAGGCTGTGAAGCTAAAGCAGAAGAATCTTAGCAGGGAGATAAGGGTAAGGCAAGCTCATTCCTCACAGTGTCTTCCTGTGGCCTGTCTCCTTTCCTCCTTTTCTATGTCTATAACTTCTTAAAGTAAAAAAGAATTACCTTTTGGAGCTGGGGATATAGCTCAGTGGCACAAGCACTGGCTTGGCAAGTGCAAGGTCCTGAGTTTGATGCCCAGCACCAAAAAAAAAAAAAAAAAAAAAAAAGAAACATATGAAAGAGTTATGGAGATGATTCTACAAGGGATACTCTTAGAAGAGAGATCAGTCTGCGTAGTATATGTGCCTGGTTCCAATCAAGAACTAAAAACAAATACTAAAAAAAAAAAAAAAAAAAAAAAAAAAAAACCAACCTTTTTATTGTCTGTGAGATTGATAAAAAGAAAAAGGTAAATATTCGTAATACCTCATGTGAGTGATGGTGTAGGAAAATGGGCCTTTTCATATGGTTTGACACTTTCTAAATTGATACAGCTTCGCTGGAGGCCAATTTAGCCATTTATGCCAAAATAATAAATTGCATATTTTTCTTGGCCCCACAGTTCCAGGTTTATAGTTTTATCATAGAGCAGTGGTTTTCAGCCTAAAGCAGTTTTGCTGCTCAGGGGACATTTGGCAGGTCTGGAGACTGTTTTGGTTGCTACCGTTAGGACGAGAGTGCTGTTGGCCTTTAGCTGCTGGGGCCAAGGGTGCTGCTAAGCATCCTACAAGGAACAGGATGGCCCCACCCAAGGATTAGCCAGCCCAAATGTCAAAAGTATGGTGTATGGATTTGTTGGTCTCTCAGTGGTCTTCAGGAGAGAACGACAAGAGGATTTAGAAAATAAAGGCAAGAGATAATAGCTGAGGTCAGGTGATGGACCCTGCCTGATTGGCAAAGGACCCACACACAACAGTAGGGGTGTTTGTTTATACCTAAGCAAAGTTACAAGACACAAGGTCACCTATCCTGGTGCACAATGTCCAGGCAGGGTACTTTTCTCAGGACTGAGGTAGCTTGACTGCTTTAGGCGCTGAGGCCTAGTCCTGCTCTCACACATGTGACCAATTTCTAGCTTTGGCGCTCCCAACAGTATGCCAGAGTCTAGCATTCTGGCCCATAGAACCAAACTTACAAAAAAAGAAAGAGCAAGCAGAACTTGTCAGGAGGGACTGTGACAAAAAAAACAAAAACAAAAACAAAAACAAAAACAAAAACAAAAAAAAAAACGAGGACTTCTTCCTCTGTGTGGTCCCAGCCTTATTTGTGAAGAAAGAGCCCCCTGAGCTCAACACGCTTTCCTCCACAGCAGGGCCATGATCTGCTGCTTCAGTCCATTCTTCTGAGACGGGATGGGAGTGGTTGAGGTACTTATGGGGCTTCTTGGTCATTTTGAGTTCTCCCATAATCCATGCTCACTGTGAACCATGGATCCCGGCTGGGGATCTTTGCTAACAGAGGAGAGAGACCTGGATGTCAGCTTGCCTTTGTTGCATTTGCAGGAGAACCTGTCTGAGATCCTCCAGGAGAATGTCAAGTTCACATTCCGCCAGCAACTGGCCCGCTTTTCTGCTCACGTAGCAGCCTGGCTTGTCTCCACAGGCGTTGCTGTTGCCTGCTGTGTAGCTGTGTATTACCTGGCTGAGCACAACTCCAAGGTAATCACACAGCCAGGAATGCGAGGGTGCCAGGGGAAGGGGTGGTGTGATAGAGGGGGACAGGGTCAGTGGCCAGTACCAGGAAGTCCCTGGCCCAGAGACTCAGAATCTGCACCTAGGCCAGAGCCCTAGGTGATGTGAACACTTGTTAAAGGGCAAAGAACTCTGGCTTGTGAAGAGACAGCAACTCATGCCACAGCCCTGAGATCACTCCGTCGGTGTTTTCTTCATTGCTCTGTTCCCCATGCCACCCACAGGCCTGGCATAAGTGGATGCTCCTAAGTCTAGTGAGCTGGTGAACTGTGGCAGGCAACTTAATCCTTCAAAGCCTCCAGTTATCTCACCTGGCTTTGCAGTGTGTGATCAGGATGAAAGATAAGCTGTGTATTTACCCTGGAGTGATAAAGGCATGTCGTGCTTTGGGCTCTGTGACTAATTAATCAGGTGACCTTGGCACAGTACTGTTTTTCTGAAGGTTTTGGACTACAGTAATGGGCTAATTATGATCAGTTTTCCAACCAACAGAATTGGAGGGCAGGTTGTACTGATTATGTCACTTTCTTTGATGGCTTTCCATTGCTCTCAATATAAAATCTAGGGCCAAAAAGCCTTAGATTGGAGCCCCAGAACTACCCCAAACAAACTAACAAACAAGCACCCAAACTGTCCTCCATAGCATGATGCGTAGATATTTTCTTTCTTTTTTTTTTTTTTTTTTTTTTTGGTGGAACCGGGGATTGAACTCAGGCCCTTGCGCTTGCCAGGGAAGCGCTTATTCCACTGAGCCATCTCCCCGGCCCCTGCATAGATATTTTCTGACTTGAACTTAGCCCACATCTCTAGCTCCAGCCTCCAGCACAGCCCATATCCCACAGTGACAGTGCTAAATGATTGTGTTCACAGTGGCTTGAACATATTATGGATGCTTTTCTTCATTCCAAGATGGGAAACTCTTGCATACTCTAACTGCCCTCATCTGGAAAACTCTACCCCTCCTCTAGATCTTAGCATGGATGTCACCTCCTCTAGGAAGCCTTCTCTCCCTACCGCCTCTCCTAGGCTGAGGTGAATGTATGGGATTCTACAGGCTGATGCTATACCACTTGTCTCACACAGCATTAAAGATGCCTGCTCGTGTGTCTGTTTCCTCCCATCACTGGGCCTAATCCTCAGTACAGACAGGAGCTACAAAGAGAGTAAGGCACAGGCAGAACAGTGGGTGTGTAGCTGGGTGTGGTTGTGCACACCTACAATTCCTGTTCTCTGGAAGGCTGAGGTGGAGGATCATAAATTTAAGTGCAGTACGTACAAAGATCCTGAGCTCAGTACCCACTAACACACACACACACAAAGATAGAGGATGTGGGACTATGCAGGTCTGAAGGTCTGCTACTGGCCATATTAAGATCTGCCCTGAAATAGGGGAAATAAAATTACAATCTTCATAAGCCTAGCATCGCCTATGTAGGATGGAAGCTATGGCCAGCCAGCAGCAAGTAGAAAGATTTCTCACTTTCTCTTCTGCCCTGAAGTAGAGGGGGCAGCTAAGAAGAGAGCACACAGAGGTGGAGTACTTTCCGTTGTTTGAACATCCACCATATACCAGGCGGTGTCAACCTTTCTCACACCTCCAGTGGCAGCCAGTCATCAATGACTCCAGCGTCCTGTGAATGGAGCTATGTCATTTAGCAGCTCTGGCACTAGCCTTTGCTTATTTGATTGATCTCACTTAATTCTTGCAGTGTGTCTATGGGTTGTGCAATGATCTTCCCTTGTATAGATGTGGAAAGGCATAGAAATGAACTGCACCTGCTCCTCCTGTGCAGCTTGTGTTTGTAGGGGGAGGGGCAGCATTAGGACCAGAATAGCCTGGCTCTAGAGACATTGCCAGAGTTCAAGGGGTGCTTTTAGACATGTAAGGGAAGATGGAGCCACAGACTAGCCTTGGGAGGAGGAAATAGGACTGTGAGGCACAGATAAATCCAGTGCCTGCCTTATCCAAGACCTGTAGGAAGGGTGCTTGGCTCAGGGTAGCCCAGGTTGTACCCAGAGCCATTGTCCTCCTTTGTAGGAGGCCGAGTCCCATGAAGAGAGACTCCATGTGTCACAGAGACCCCAGCTCAGTTCTGGAGAAGCCTGAAGAAAATGTACATGGTCACATAGAAGATGGGAAATTCCACAGAGACGTACCATGATTTCAGGAGCCCCAGGCGTTTGCATCTCAGTGAGGCAGGCAGTGTCCCAGAATGGCTGTGTGAGCTCAGACACGTCTGCATTCAGCTCCGCCACTTCTTGCTGAGCGACCCTAGGCACGTGTCTGCCTCCCTGAGCCTCCATGTACTTGGCACAGGTTAAGCACTAAATACATAATCATTTAGTAGTTAACCCCAGAGGAGCTGCTACTGGGACTCTCCTATCATGCATCTCTTCTGACTGAGACAGATGGTACAGCGCACAGTGGGCATTGGGTCATCTCTCCTCCATCCTTACAGTTTCTGCACACCCACAAAGACCCTGGGGCAGTGCTATTACTGCCTTTTGTGGTGTCCTGCATCAACCTGGCTGTGCCGCGCTTCTACTCTATGTTTGGGCTGGTGGAGAGGTACGAGATGCCACGGCACGAAGTCTACACCCTCCTGATCCGGTAGGTGTGTCTGTTACACCTGGCATCAGCCACATTTCCATGGAGTTAGAAGAGTTCTGTTCAAACATCGAAGGTTAGTTGGTAGTGTGCATGCCTGTAGCCTAGAACTTGGGAGGCTGAGACAGAAGGATCGCTATGAGTTTGAGGTCAGTTTAAGCTACATAATAAGCTCGACGCCAGCTTTAACTACATAGGAAGACCCTGTCTGAGAAAAACAAAACAAAAATCTAAGTTCCACGCTCCCAAAAGAAGCAATTTCAGGTGTAAAATGTGTGGGTTAGTAGCCACAAAAGAACTCTGGGAAGATACTCTTGCTGCGTCCAAGAGCCTTTTACTCCAAGTAGCAACTTACCTTTACCCATGGCTGGTGCGTGTACTTCCCAGGCTAACATGGACAGTTGAACACGCAGTGCACTGTTTCAAGGCTCCTGGCTGAGGAGTAGTGTGGGGACCGAAATGACCCATTGCCATACTGTGACTCAGACACCCAAATTGGTAGGAGGAGTGCTTTTGGCAATTCACGGGTCAGAGCAGGTGCCTTTTGATGACTCCTACACAGGCATCCTGTGCACTAGAGGTGACCCCAGGGTGTTGATAAACAAAGGCTAAAACTACCCAAATTTTGTCCCCTAGCTTTTCCCCCGGTCAGTTCCTGGTCAGTTAGTTCCTGGTTATGACAATAAGACTGTGTAGAGTAGAGTGACAGTTCCAGAGCTTGGTCCATACTGTGGCTGCTCAGGCCTGGCCAGCTCTCCAGCCTCATTTCCAACCTCTTTCCTTCTCAGTTCCCCCTCTCCCTGACCAGTTTCCTCGGTGCTCCCAAGCACGCCAAATTCTGTACCTGCCTCTGGGCCTTGGCCCTGGCTACTCTTTCTACCTGAAATACTCTTCCTGCAGAGAGCTCCACAGTTCTCTTCCTGACTTCACTTTGGCTTCTGCTTAAGTATCACCCACTCAGAGAGCCATTCCCAGGCCACCCTATTAAAAATAACAGCTCCTCACTGCCCTTTCTCCCCTGCACTATCATTTTCTTCTTACTGAACATATTTTTACTGAGATCTTCCTTTCCCATAATTGACAGGAGAAGTCTTTGCCTTGCTCACAATGGTTAGGACTTAATAGATGCACAAGAATAATTAGAAAGTGAATAAATGAGCAAATCAGTCCGTCAGTCTGCCCATTATATCTGACTCATTGTGAAAATATAACCGCAGGTGATTCCTTACCCTCATCACCCCACATCACCCCTCCTTGGCCAGGGTTCATCATGTATACCAGGGAGAAATGTTAGGTCTCATTGTCATCCCAAAACTTGTCATATTGGATAAAGTGGAACAAAAGTATCATGTACCTGATGATAGCATGGTAAAAATTAAGGGGAATGATTCATTCAAGTGCTCAGTAGAGTATCTTGGGTCAGCACCCAGTGAATATTACGTACAGTACATTTGCTATTATTTTATTTTATTTTTTGGCGCCAAATGACCTCAGGGCAGGTTTGGCTGGCTTGAGTTGTGGGGATCGAACCACAGTAACCTGAGCCTGACTGCTTTGTTGAAGCAGCCACTTAAAGAACTGAGCTAAGGGGCAGGCCCCCACATTTACTATTATTTTGATGAGAAATAGAAATCAGATCATCTGTAGATACCACAAAAGAGTGTCTCAGTCACGTAAGTTAAGTGATGCTGTAGTAACAAAAAAACAAAAACAAAAAAAACCCCAAATATCAGTGGCTTGGACTCTGAGTAGCTTGGACCCCACAGTTTCCATCTTGGGTATTGCTGATGGCCATTCCAAGGGGAAGGCAGGGAGTTCTGAGGATCTCACACTGCATTCAAAGCTCTGGTGTCAAAGTGGCACCCATCACTGATTTTTGCAGTTCATTTGCTAGAACTGGTCACATGGCCCCACCTAGCCACCAGAGGTAGGTATGGCAGAAACCTCTGTCCTATCATGTGCCCCAAAGGAATTACTGTTTAAAAGCATGGGAGACTGCTATGTGGAGGGTAATGATCATAATTTTCTCTTCTGTTATTTAGAAACATATTTCTAAAAATATCCATCATTGGAATTCTGTGTTACTATTGGCTCAACATTGTGGCGCTATCTGATGAAGAGGTGAGATTTCCACACCGTTCTGCCCTAAGTTTGGTTTTTTGTCTTTGCTCAGCAGAGGTATGTGGGTTTCTTGATGGCTGCCACAACCTATTTGCATGAACCCCTTCAGGAGGAGCCCCCGAGCTGGTGTAAAAGCAGCATAGGTGGGGTGTAACGGGAGCTCAGCCAAGAAATTCGGTCCCAGACCCAGGCGGACCTGGCTTAAAGACCAGCTGTGTTTCCTCAGTCACCTAGCATCTGTAAGCTTCAGTGTTCCCCTCTGTCAAAGTGGGAATTAAACAATATTGAGTATAGTATAAGTACAAGCATAAGGTGAATGTAGGATAAAGTTTACTAACTTTGATGCTAATCTCTAATGACAGCTTTGCGATTTTGAATAAGATCTGTTTTGATCCTCCATGTTCCATTTTTCCCCTCAGGACTTAGACACCTTTGCCACTCTCCAGTACTACCAGTTTTCTAGGTGCTGCTAGTAACAGTTATGTTCTAATCCAGACCTTTCCTGGCTCTGCCTTACTGGATCACACCTTTCAGTCTCCCTTTACCTCAGAGGCTGAGCATCTGAGCCCCCACTCTGAGAATGGTGTCCCGTGTGGATTCAGGAACTAGCCACCTTCTATGGCTATCTCACTGGGATGCCTCTGCTTCTGCTGCCTTGGCCCCATGAGATGTGGCCTCTACATCCTATAGCTGTTCTTAGCTGATGGCCATCCCAAGCCCTTGGTTGCCTGAGATGCTCCGGGTTGGAAGTAAAGGAGCCAAGGGCTTCTCTCCAACTCTGTATCACCCCTTATTCTTGGACCCCCAAAATAATGCTGCTTTGTCCAGATTCAAACCATCTTATGTGAACATGGCACCCTTATCTTCTCACTCTAATTATCAAAGAAGTTTAAAACCAGTTTTCCAAGTTAGCCAGTTTGGAGAAAATACCATGTTATACCTCTGTCCACTCGTCCAGTCTGTCATATCAATTGATCCATCCAGCCATCCAGCCAGCCAGCCAGCCAGCCATTCCTTTATCATCTGTTTACCTCCACCCATCCATCCCTCTGCTTGTCCATCTATCCATCGATCCATCCATTTATTCACCTGTCAACTATAAACCTACCTCTATCCATCCACCCATTTATTTTCCTGTCATCTACCAACCCCCGATTCAGTCATCCAACCATTTATCCATCTGTCTATTCATTCATCCATGTGTTTACCATTTATCTATCCTCCCCATCTATCTGTCCAGCTACTCATTCATCCATCCTCAGGTGGTGCACCCCAAACTTCCCTCTCCTCTTTCAGCCAAGCCTAGTGACTCCCAGTCTGTAAGTTCATAATATTGACTTCCTGCAAAGGTCCCTGACCACCAGTTTAATAAATTAACTCCTATTCTGAGTTTAAACTCTCCTGTTAAACCTCTGGTTCACTGTCTTAATTAAGCAGATGCTGATTAATTTTTCATAAAGCCAATCAGCAGAAAGAAGGGAGCATTCTTAACCTCTGATCATTCCTACTGTCTTAAAACAAACAAACAAAAACTCATTAACCCAGGCCACACATAATGGTTCATGCCTGTTCTCTCAGTCCTCAGGAGGCTGAGGCAAGAGGATCACTCGCAAGTTCAAAACCAGCCTGGGCTACATAGTGAGTCCAAGGTCAGCCTGAACTATATTATAAGACCCTGTCTCAAAGGAGAAAGAAAAAGGACACTGATTAGCTCTGGTTAAGAAATGGGATGGCAGGAAGGTGAGGATGGTTGGATAGCAGGAGTTTGGATGCCTGTGGACAGCAAACCTAATGGGGAAGAAAGGACAGAAGAGAAATAAGCGTGGCTGCCTTTCTTCAGAGAGTGGGTCTGATTTTCTGGGTGCAGGGACAGAGTGGCAGGAGCAGAACAGATGTGAACTGAGCAGGGACAGTGGCCCTGCCACATCCTAATTTCCATCTGCCTTCCAGTGCTGGGAAACCTTCATTGGCCAGGAAATCTACCGGCTCCTTCTGATGGATTTCGTGTTTTCTTTGGCTGATTCCTTCTTGGGGGAGTTTTTGAGGAGGTAAATATTGGCCAGTCATGAATATTTTATCCTATGCTATAGCCATACCCTGATTCCCAAAGGAGCGGCAAGTATAGGTGTATTTATGTTGTCTATTTAACTTGTCTATTTAACATTATGTATTTAGCTTGTGCATTCTTATGATCTTTCCATTGACTTTTGGGATATTGTTCTTTTCTAAATTAACTAAAATCTCACCTTAATCTGACAGTCTAGTCTCTTTATTGGATTCAACTGACCCATTACAATCTTCACTTGAAGAAAACTCTCTCTCTGTCTCTCTGTCTCTGTCTCTGTCTCTGTCTCTGTCTCTCTCTCTCTCTCTCTCTCTCTCT